AAGTTTTTAAGTCTGTAAAAAAGAAGTTTTTGAGGAAGAAGAAGAAGTAGTATTTTTTTTTAGACTTCAGAAACTCAGAAGCTGATCAAATATCGGGTTAAATATCGGTGGGGTGGCCGATGTCCAATATTCAGTTTTAAGGCCGATACAGGCAGATACCGATAGGGGGCCGATTATATCATGCATCCCTAATATATATAGTGTATATTTTATACTCCGATTCCTTTATCAGCAATACAGTCATGTGCAGGACACGCAACTGATCTATTTATAATTTATTTTTGGAATAAATAACATTACTTTCAATTAAATATTAGAGTCTTTTACCCATTCAGGTTTAAACATAAAACAATGTCTCATTGAGCAGGAGAAAAATGTTTCCTCTCTTGTAAACATTTTTGAGCAAAGGTAATGGAGCATTTAGCATATCTTTGAATTCAACAGCGTGGCTGTGCTGTAGGTGGTGCAGGTTGGATGTGTTACATTGGGCAGTCCCGACAGTTTTAAGACAAACTTTGCATTTCATGTTCCTTTGCTCAACATCTATGGCGTAATTTTAATGCGATCGAACTGAGCGTGTAGGGAGAACAATTTTCATCGTTTAAACTCGCACGCCCTCAACTCTGACAACGCGTTCTCGACTACTTCGCTCAGCTTCATCTCTGCTCTCGTTCGGCTCCACAGGATCAACTGATGCAATGTCTTTTACAGCTGTGTTAGACGGTTCTTCATTGGGCTCATCCACCCATCTCTTTGTTTACGCTTCCGACTGGATCGGTGGAGTTACGAGATTACACACCTGCTGCAGTGTCTTAAAGGGAAGGAAATACCAGCCACCAGTGCAAACATGAAAATGGCAGAATTAAGTTTCTTTCTTTTACCTACATGGGAAATTTGTCATCGGTTATCGTAGTGAAAGACAGTAATGGTAAAAATCCTGTTTATTACCTAGACCTAATTGGAAGAAATGGAGAAATAAATAATTTCGGAAAAAAATCCATAAAATCACATTTTCAACTTGTTTAGGAGTAAAGGACTGATGAAATCCTTATTTGCCCCACTGTAAAACAGAGATCTCATTGTTCTCTATGTTTCTAATTAAGGTTGGACAATATGTAAAATTTTCCAACCGATCTTCATCAGTCCAACAAATGGCGATGGACGATTTGTGCAGGTGACTTTGTGGGCAAAGCTCACCCTCCGTACGCCGCTTCTGCATTGTGGTAATATTTTTAACCACCTGAACAGATTATTAAACTCAATAAGGTAAACATGCTTGTCTTCTTTTCAAAAATGTATATGTTTTTTATTTTTTGAGTAGGAATAATTTTCTCTTTTCCAGCTGTTCTGACTATGTTATGAGGCAATATAGTTTTTTTTTATCGTTATTAATTTTTTTTTATGAATGTGCAAAAATCAACAGTTTCAACTTTTTTACTTTTTTATGGAAAGTACACGGCTTCAGTGGAAGAGAGATGTTTCCTTTTTTTATTTTCTTTAGTTGTTTAATTTTGGATTAGTTGTGTTAAAAGTCAAATGTACAACAGACAAATGACCTGCAAACATACAGGCCTACAATCTTGTGGTTTTTGGTTCTGGTTAAAACAATACCCAAAAAAAAAAAAAAAAAAGCTTGTCTCTGGTTTGGATCAGTTCTTTCTTTTCTTTCTGCACGCTGGCACTGGGGGAAAAGTTTTTGTGTTCCATTAAAAGCAGCATTAGGGTTTTTTTTTCAGTGTTTACAACTGTTTCTCTCTTAGACACAGTGATAAGCTCCGCTTTCACTGTGACCAACTGTATGCCTTAGTGTATGGATACTATCTCCAAACTAATCTACCTAACCCTTTCTTTCCTAGTCAGAAGTTAGTTTACTGTTATCACATGATCTTCCTGCAAAGTCAGTGACCCAAAGCAAATCAGTTTTCCAAAATAGAAATCTGTTTACCAGTCTGAGTGATTATCTCTGCAAAGCACATTGAGTAGATGTATTGTGAAGGCAAATTCAACACATACTTGAGAGGCCAGGTTATTTCTATTAGTTTAAAAATATAAACAGAAAGAGCAGTGAAAGGTATCAAAATTAAAAGGAAATTCTTCTTCTATACCAGATCTGCACAAAAAAGAAATCCTTGAAGCAAATCAACAACAAAGTTGATCCCCAACTTCGATCCCCAATACATATTAGGAAATGATGCACCACGGAGGATACTTGAGACTGGTGACGTTATGAGATGAGCTGAGGCTCATGGACTGTGGAGCCTCATGAACTGTGGGGATCGTTGAAGCAATTTGGCCAAACGGTTCAATATGAGGCTTCATTTCACATTCACTACTTGAGAAACGATCCGTCACATCAGGTGACATCACCCGTCACCCCAACGCGGAGCAGCATCTGACCGTTTCCTCCGAAAAACACATTAAAAGCCCAGATTACCACTCACAAAATGGCGGTTTCGGGTTGTTTCCACACAGTACTGGAGCCCATTTCGGCTTTATGATCCTTATCCTTTCGTCATATAGAAATGTGCCTAAACTGCATTCCACATAACATCCAGACCTAACCAGTGTAGCAGAACCTACCAGCCTGCAGGATGTTGGCATCCGGAAAGTATCCCTTCTCCTCTTCTTTAACCGTTTCTGAAATGTCTCCCATAGCTGCACTCTGCGCCCGCAGGAGCTGCTGTGTCTCTTCAGAAGTTACAGTTTTTACACTTATTGCGCTCAGATGTTCCATCCTACGAGAGGAGTTTCTAAAATGGAGAAATGTTTATCTGGTGGCGTCTTCTTCTGCTTCTGCTTCTTCTTCTTGAAAAGCTGTATAACGGTTTGCAAACTAGTTAAAGTGCATTACCGCCACCTACTGAAAAGGAGTTAAACCAGGAAACAAGACTCACCACCAGAAAAAAAAAAAAAACATAAATAATAATAATAAAATGAAATTAATAAATAATTACTAGTTTTCCAAATTGTATATTTTAACCCAACATAATGAAATACATAATGAAATTCGTCCTCATAATTTCTAATTTGTTTTCATGCTAATGTCACTCTGCCGGTTTCTGATGGTCCTATTAGTTTTCCCATCATATTTTAAATTTCTCACTTCAAGGTACTTTCCCACAGCTTTCACTATTATTTTTATTTTTTCAGTTTTCTTTGTCGTTTGAACACAGCAATTGATAATTTCTACCATGAAAAGTACAAAATCCTTCTTTTTAACAATCAATGAATCTTCAGCAATTTTGGGACACTCCTCCAGAGGGTTTGACCTTGTCCTTAGAGCAACTGTTCTGACTGCGATGGGATTATTTTTGCAGCATAAGATATTATGAGCTGCAATTTCTCTATTCTTATCTCTTCAGATCTCTTGCTTACTTCACAACCTCAATATGCAGCAGTATGTTCTCCATCACAGTTACATTTCATTTTTATTTCTTTACCCAACTTTCCATATTAATTCTCTTCAGCACGTTGTTTGCCTTTGCCTACAGCTGTTATATGACCAAATCTTTGGCATTTGAAACCTGAGGTACATATTCCAAGTTATCATTTTATACCATCAGCCATTTCAATATTTTGGAATACATTTACAAAAGATCTCATATTTGACAATATATGTATAATTGGAAATATACTCAAATCATTTTGTGTTTCTGTTAAATTTTGGATTAATTAAGTACTCGTTTTTTAATAAATTTGCCAATAAATATCAATTAGCTTCTTTTTTTTTTTTTTTTACAAGCATCTTGCTTACAGACCAGAAAAGCAGGAACATGTGTTTAGTAAACGTTTTTAATTTCTTTAATTTATTTAAGTGGGAAGGAAACTGAAAACCCACATATGGACTGGGATAGGGGAAAGCCTGCAGTCTGGTGCAAAGGCTTACTCAGGATGAAGTTTAGAAGAAAAATCAAGATCTGAATCACTCAGGGGATGTTTTGGTGATAAACCTCTGTTGCTTTGATAACCGGGATTATAATAGGGAATAAAATATGTTGTGTAAACGCACACAAAGAACAATAACTGTTTCACTAGCAAGGAACACACCAAAAGTTAATATGAGTTTATAGGTTTATTGACTGAATGCTGGATGAAGGGACAAGGGTATAAAGGATGAAGGGAGGGAGGGATGGAAGGGGTTGGGGGTCACTGACTTCTGAGGAGTAAACAGAGGGCGTGAAGATCTCATTTTGGGGGTTTGAACTTAATTTAACCTATTAACTCTATTTAATTTTCCAGTACAGCTGCTTACGTTGTTTTCTTTTTGGGCCATGAAGGCAAAACTAGTTTATGTTACAGAAAAATGTCTCTACTCTCTTCCAAAAATTCTTGTGGATGTTAACCTTAACTAGCTGCGAGGGATCATCGAAGCTTGTTAAGGTTTTGATATCTTGGATTGGGGATATTTTGTCTTTAGATCCTTTTGAGAGCAGTTCCTCCGTATTGTGTTATTATTTATCACCATACAACTGGAACTGGGTGGCCATGCCTGTTTCTGATCAGAGAGACTAACTGATGCCGGTAATCTTTTGTGGAGCAGGGATGACACAACCAGCACTGCATAAATGGGGAATCAACTGAAAATCCCTTATTTCCTCTACAGAAAATACAGAGCAGCTGTAACCTAAATCAGCTAAATTTAGTTTTAGAGTATTTCTTTGATTTCACCACCTTGTTGGTACTAGTCAGTATTGACGTTCTCTTAAGTCAATTTGTCAATATTTTCACATGATAATCACTTAAGTCAGCTGAATGTACAGAACGATCGTGTATAACTTTGACAGTGGGATATTAGAGATTTAGAATTGTTCATTATTTTCACAACATTTTGTTGTGATTCTTGTTTCCTTCTTTTCTGCACTGATCACTGTCTCTTCTTAGATCAGAGGTTTTAGAGGAGAGTCGGGATGTCACAGTAGGGGATTCTGTGTATAAACCGGACCAAATGTCGGGGTATCTTTGAGAAGAGGGGGTCCTGCTGCAGAAACCTGATGAGGTCCTGTTATATAAATACATCATCCCTTCTGGTCATTTTCCAGTCTCAGCATTAAAGAAATTACCTCTGGGTGGGGCATAGTTGTCTGTAGTGCTGCCAGAAGAGCAGCTTTGTGTATCAAAGCTATAGGTCAAAAATTCATCCAAAAATGTATATAATTTCTTTGGGATTTAATGATGAGGGTCATTACCTTTCTGCCATCAAAAATGTGTGATTTCTTATCGCCTCATGGGCCTCAAGAACATGAGAACTGTTGACAAATGATTCATGGTAATATAGCTGTGTTTAAGTGCAGCTGCTGTTGTAATGCGTTCCTGTGGTGTAGGAACTAGCATTAGTTTTAGAAGATCGATGAAACTTAGTAAATCCTCCCTTTCAATGGGTTCCTATGTTGCTGGTTGGATTTTGAGCAGGTCATCCAAAGACTTCAACTTCAACAGTGGATCATACTCTTTGAATTCATTTTCACAAGAAGAGGAAGAATTGTAACTACAATTATAACTGCATTTTGGATGGGCATTATTAAAATTAGGATATCAGAAATTCTAATTTAACTAGTCATAAAATAAGTAGTTGATATCTTTAATAACATTTCTATTAGCAGAAATATATTTTTGATGCCATGAATTGGATTTCTGGATATCTGTAAAGTTTAATAAATTTTTGATATCTGAAATTGTCATTATGACTAGCAGTATGGAGTATTATGGAGCAGTATTATGAAGGTCTGAATTCCTTTTTAAATAGGAAGTATGTTATTTTAGATATCTGGAAGTAAAAGCCCACGAGTGAGAAACATGACGTCATTTTTACTAGTAAAGCCTGGTACACTGTGCGATTTTCCAGTCGTGCGAGAATCTTTCTATCGGGCCCACTTTCAGCCTGATCGTGCGCGTTAGTCGTGTAGTGTACAGGGGGTTACGAGCGGTCTCAGCCTCTCACGACCACCTCCTAATCAGGAATCGGGAGGTCGGTAGAATATCAAACATGTCTGATTTTCTCCCGACCGCCTTGGGCAAATCGCTCAGGGCGCATGCGCAAAGAATGATTCATCTTTTTATTGTTCCTCTCAGATGTAAACACAGCAGCATGGCAGGGATGCAATGAGTGAACCGTAGTAGCGTTTGCTCAGCCACGTCTTTTTTCGCAAATATCTAGTCGCCTTTTCTTTTTGGGGCTTTCAGCACAAAAATGCACAAATTGCCAAGGTAGCGCATTTCACTCTAGTGAGTTTAATATTTCCCTTCTACTCGTTTGGCTTCTGGATAGACGTGTCAGAGCAGCTCCATCTCACTGCGGAGCCGAGTCTGATGTGGTTTTTAGTCGTACAGTGTGAGCAGGTAGATCACATGAGAGCGGTGGGTAGAACATAAATCGTGAGCTGTGAGCTCACACTGTAGGACTAAACCCTGCAGTTAGTCCTACAGTGTGAGCAGTAGCCGCATGCAACGGTTGAAAAAAATAGCACAGTTTACGCCTGGCTTTAGAATTATATTTCGGATATCTGAAATCTTCATTTTGACTAGGAAGAAATGCATTTAAGACATCTGTTTACATATTCAGTCAAGCTAATAAATGTCAAAACAGCCTGCCATATTCTACTACTCAGCAGCCAATGGAAATAAGTGACGAGCAACAGCTCAAATTGAAAAAGTAGCTGAATGGCTCATATTCACATGAAATCAACACGTAGTTGATGTGTATTTGACAAGTTGCCAATGCCATGTCTACCCTCATAAAATTCTGAAAAGTGTAAGGCTTTGGATGACATATCAGCACTAAATTTGATTGAAAACTATTCTGTTACGTTAATATACTGTGATGGCTGTAACTCAATAAATCATTTAAAATAAAATGTTTTTTTTCCAATTTTTTATTAATATTTATTAATTTATTAATTTGGAAAAATGTAAGTACAGATAAAAAAATGCCAAATTTCAAGGCAGAATCAAAGGTTATTAATCCTGATTTGAACTCCCTATATTGAATAAATTCCATGAATAGAGAAAACATGACACCGTTAACACGCCAAGGAGTGATGAATATATTAATATTAAAATGTAATTCCTTCCTAAAATCACTCTAAGACATATTAAATATATCTTGCTGATCTTACCCCTCCGAATCTAAATTAATCCACAAAAGTGTTTTTTATTTGCCAGAAAGTGATTTAAATGTATCTTTTGACCTGTAAAATGTAATTTGTGCATGGAATAGCTTTTATTAAACTATAAGGCATAACATGTAATATATATTATTTAACTCACCCCCTCCATCACTGAAATTATCCACAAAATACAGCAATAATATTATAACTAAAAACTCAAAAAAGTTGATATTGCATGATATGTGCCATTTAAGAAAATACTATGTTGCATCCTGGAGGGGAGGCTTCAGACTTTCCAACTGTGGGAGCATCAGAGTATCAGAATCAGAAAAGGCTTTGTTGCCAAGTACCGTGTAACACATAAAAAGGAATTTATTTGGGTGACAAGGTTCTCAACACTTAAAAACATACAGTTTACATAAATTGATGCAGCAATATATTGTTTGGAATAAACACATGCAAGGTGTAAAGGAAGAGCACTGTGGCAGATATTGAAAGTTAGCAATATTATGAAATTAAATAGTACAAAGTTGAGATATTCAGTTTGTTTTTTCCTCCAATAGAAGTGTCAGTTAGGGACCAGAAAAGGAGAATACCCTAAACTGTAGCTCCTACCTCCTGATCTTATCTAAGATAGGAGAGGAACTCCAGCATGCTGTGCTAAATCCAGACAGCCTTCAGCCTTATGGATATCATTACATGATGGAAACACACAGGAATAATGCCTGTCAAATTAGGGCTTTAGCCATAGAGGAAATAACTACGAAAAAAGAAGTTACACAGAAGTAATAAATGGCTAAAGATCTCCATTATAAAACTAAAACACATGTATTTTTGTTTAACTCTGTGTGGTAGGCTGTGTCTTTACGCCCTAGCTCTTTCCTTAAGGCCAGTATTATTTAGATACCACTTCTGCCATGACCTGTGTGCTTACCAATTTGAGGTATTCGCATTATGCCATGATGTGACTTAAACAACGATCAATTTGCCAATGCTAAAAAGCCAAGATATTACATGAGAATACACCAATACAGGGTTTCAATTACTATTACATTTGATAAAATTGAGAAGTACTTTTATTTGGCCTTTAAGGTTTCCGGCAATTTGGTAATCCTGTAATGTACTAATCTCATGATCCTTAGTTAACTTCCATCATGTGGGAGCCCTGAAAAAAAATCTCATTCTCTATTGCCCCATTTACACTATCCCTCTGGGATAGTGTAAATGGGGCAATAGAGGATCCATGCCGAGTTCCATGCCGGATCCATGCCGAGTTCGGACTGAGCTTGGATCATTTAACTGTGCCGAGCTTGGTTCCTTATGACCATTTACACATCATGCTAGCTCCGTTCCTTGCCTCCTATCGGTAGTCATCCATACTACAGCTCTCAAGGCAGGAATTACCCCCCCAAAAAATTGTGGCGCCCATAACATTTAGGAACTTATGTGCCTGGATAGCGTTCTCTGCCCAAATTTCAATGAGAGCCTCAGTCTCGGCATCATCCCAGGTCCCACGCTCTTTTGATGTAATTTATTGTTAATAGGCGGAGAAGAAGTTCATTTGTTAACAGGTGGAGAGATCTGTGATTTATAAAGCCGGACACGCCTGAAAACCAGCGAAATGAGTCAGCTGACTGTAAATAAGAGACGATGCACACATGCGCTGCTTGGTTTCAGAGAACTGAGCCACAATTGAATCGTGCAGAGCCCTACAATTGAACTAGTACTACCGGTATATGTAGAGCGGTTCGGTTGCGTCTTGCACGGTCCAGTTCAATTATGTTCTATTTACACTCATCAGTTAGTTAGTTGGTTACTGTCAGACCGTTCTCAGCTCAGTTTCAAAAGGGTAGTGTGAAAAGGGCTTATAGCACAGCATATGCCGCGCTGATCACTAACATCTGCTGTCATTTCAACAGTAATATTTCACAGCTAACTGCAGCGTCATAGTTTGAGTTTTCAAACTTTAGCCAGCTGTTGATTGGTGTGGGTTTTCATGTGTTTGTTTAGAGTTGCTTTTCGGGTAAATCTTTGTTCACACAGGTCACAACAGAAAGGTTTCTCTCCTTTATGAATTCTCAAGTGCATGTTTAGATGCTCTTTTCGTCTAAATCGTTGTCCACATTGATCACAACAGAACTGTTTCTCGTCCGTGTGGATTCTTACATGCGTCTTTAAATTTTCTTTTCTGTTGAATTTTTTACCACATACGTCGCAGCAGAAAGGTTTCTGTCCTGTGTGGATTCTTGAGTGTTTCTTAAAATTCTCTTTTTGACTAAACCTTTGCCCACATAGATCACAAAAGTATGGTTTCTGTCCTGTGTGGATTCTTATATGTGCGTTCAAATCTCCTTTATCCCTAAATCTCTGTCCACATAGATCACAATGGTAAGGTTTCAGCCCCGTGTGGATTCTCATGTGTATGTTAAAATTCCTTTTAAGGCTAAAGCTTTGTCCACAGTGATCACAATAGAAAGGTTTGTTACCCGTGTGGACTATAAGGTGTGTGTTTAAATTAGATTTTTGACTAAACCTTTGTCCACATATATCACAGCAGAAAGGTTTCTGTCCTGTGTGAACTCTCATGTGTGCTTTCAAATTTCCTTTAAGGCTAAAGCTATGTCCACATAGATCACAACAAAAAGGTTTCAGCCCTGTGTGGATCATCTTGTGTCTATTAAAATTGCTCTTTATACTAAACATTTTACCACAGTCATCACAGGTAAACTTCTTGTCTGTCTGGACTTCCCTTCCAGAGTCGACATTTCTCTTATCTGTAAAACATTTATTTTCCAATGAGCTGGAAGACCCTATATCTGAGTTGATTGTGTATTTTTGATTAAACTGATGTTGAACCAATTGTTCAGCAAACTCAAAAGATCTAAATGGTTTGTTTCCAATGTTTCCGTCTGACTCAGGAGCTTTACTCTCCTCCCAGTCATCGTCCATGTTGTTAGTTTTCAGACTAGTGTCTGTCAAGTGTTGCAGCTCTGAGATGGGATGTTTTATAGTCTCTTCAGTTTCTTCCTTTGCAGGGTCTTCAGTCTTTAAGTAAATAGAACCATCTTCACCTTCTTGTATCTTGCCTTTGAAAAAGTCAGGATAAAACTGGGAGAGCAGAGGGGACTGTTCATCATTCCCGCTGTTTATTTGAGTAGCAGTGACTGGAAACCTGACAGGATTGATCTCTTCCTTCTCACTGAGCTGCTCTTCCTTAAAGCTGACATAGACCTCCTCCTGTTCCTCCTTAATATGGTGGAGCTTTGGGTCATGGTGGTCAGCACAATGTCTGTGGTCTGCCGGAGCTTCTTCTTTAACAATCAGCATCTGCTTAACATCTGCAGGAAATAATGAAACAGATTAAGCATATTAGCCTGGATTGAATAACTTTATTATTGGGTTATATTTAATTTTATGGTATAATTACTATAATTTTCACCATTTCATTTATTATATATTATATTTTTGTTTATTACATTGGCTAAGTCATGACGAAACCTATTTACTTAATCAGAAGAAGAACATGGTAAAAGCTTTTTAATCTTTTCATCTAGCATCATGTTTTCTACATCTCACTGGTACATGAATGCTTTATATTGTGCTGCAAATTTCCAATTTGTATGCAGAATAATTTGATTTTAAAAAAAGGAAATCGACCCATCAACATTTTCTCAATTTAAATATTTCTTATTGAAGCATCAACATATCAAAATACACTTGATGATAACAATCAGATCCTCAAATAATAATAATTGAACTTTATTGATCTCACATTGGAGAAATTCACTCCTTGTATTTAACTCATCCCCTGGGGGAGCAGTGGGCTGCCATTGTGGGGCGCCCAGGGAACAATCGGGGGTAAAGGGTCCTGCTCAGCGGCCCAGTCTGACGGTATGTGGAAGTGGGTTTCAAACTCACAATTCCAAGCTCTATGCCCTAACCACTGGACTGCCACTCCCATATCGAAATCAAAATAAAGAGAAATCTACAAAAAAAATTTCACAAGAAACTTATAGGTTAGGGATGCAGATTATCAAAAAAAAAAGGTGATCCTGTCAATCAACTAACAATTAAGTGGCCATTTCCTTTAAAAAAAAAACCATACATTTTCAAAGTATGAAGCACGTTTATCCAAACATAGAGGCAGCAGTGACCAACAATTAGGGATGGGCTTTGTTTAAAATTTAACAATATTGTTTCAGATAATTTAAAGAGAATTAAACACATCCAAAAAGTGTAATAAAATGACTAAAGTTATGCTTACTATTATTCTGGAAGTTATGGATGATAGTAATCATTTGCTCAAAAAGTATGAACAAAGCGGTGGGTATCAAAACAAAGTAAAAGGAATAAATTGTTAAAAAGGCTGCTGCAGAAGTGCCAGTCCAAATGCAGAGGAAACAAATTCAGTTAGTTAACAGGGCATAACACCGGTGCAGTGCGGTTAAAAGGTGGCACTCACATGGAGTCTGGAGGTGTTTAATTATGTTGGTCGTCTGCTGTCTTTTACATGATATATTCCTGCTGCAAATGCAGCAATGGGATGACTTCTCATTTTTACAGATCCCTTTTAAATCCCGCCAGAAACACTTAAGGATTCTTTTTTCATTAGTATTTGGGAGGTCCCTGAAGAAGCCCGACACAAAAACAGTGCCATCCTGTGGTGACATGGCCAGTGAAATAACTGTGCTGTAAAACTGAAATTAGCTGTCACTGAAAAAAAGAAAAAAGCCTCAGCTTAAATTAGCTGCATAATAGTTTTTTTTTTATACACCTTTTTAGTAGGAGTGTTTGATTTTTTTATGTTTAATTTTTCATATTTGACAATTGAATGTCTTTTCAATGTTTAAATTTCCCATTTTATATTTAACACTGCCAAATGTCTTTTTAAATGTCTATGCAAGTTGTCTCTATAAAAGTAACAAATAATTTTTCTGTTTTTTTTTTTGCACAATTATGTTGTTTTTTTATGTTTAGCTTTGAAGGAAGATGCATTTCTTCATCATGGCATTTATTTGGCAATAAACTATATCCAAGGCAATGCATGGGATTCAGATATTGATACACTACACCATTATATTTGTGATAAAAAAAAGCACGTAGCTGGCCTGACTTAGTCCTTTATCCACCACTCTCTGTGGGAAGCTTGGGCTTTCACTTTCAATTTTCTGTTGCTGCCTCGAAATAATTTTACAAACTGGACGTAAAAACAATTTAGCCATTTGTCCTCGTCTTTAGGCTGAGGAACTGTAGCGAACGCAGTTACATAAGCATTTTTCTTTGTGAATATGAATATGTTTTACTTTTAATCTCCATTTCATATTTGTGTATTTTTTTATTAATATGTACATACTTTGGGGAAATATTGTAATTATGTCAGATGGAGACGTCACCGATTAGGTTATCACTTGATCACATGATGCCCTGGATGGAAAATTCTGATGGCTAAACAGATGAGGCGTAATGAATACTTAAAAACTAGTCCAGGCATTTGTTACTTCAAGGCTGGACTATTGTACTTCTTTACTTTCAGGAAGCCTATTTAATTCAGTTGAAAACCTTAAGATGATCCAAAACACTGCATCTAGAGTTCATATGAAAACTAAAAAGAGAAACCACACTGGCTTCACATTAAATCCAGGAGAGAAATTCAAATTCAAAATGAGATGAGAAACCCTGGGGTAGAATAATAAAGTTAATGTTTTAGGGGTCTAAATATTATAGTTTTAAACCCAAGCAGCTTGAGAACAGGTGAAATCACCTTTTTTTTTTGCCAACTTCATCCTTGTCTATAAATAGAGTGTAAGCACTTATTGCTGCGTCACACAGCAGAGAGAAGACCAGATAACAGGAATTAAGGACCCACAGCAACAGATGACCTCTGCAACTTTGAACACAAAACCAAATACAATCCATGGATGTGATTATTTTATCTACTGACATCTGCATGTGTAACAGAGTAATTCATTAATTATTACCAATTGATCTCTTCAGACTCAAAATCCAGACTAGGGCTGCAACCAGCAATTATTTTGCAAATCAATTAGTTTTCGAATAATCGTTTAATAATCGGACAGCAAAAGATTCCTTAAAGAATCTTGATTAAATCAAACCAGGAGAAACTAAAACTTTTCTACTTGAGGAGTTTTAAATAGAGCATATTGACAAATGAAAAATATATATCTTTTTATCTTAAATGCAAAAATGTTTATACATTTTTTTTTTTTTTTTTTTTTTTTTTTACAATTTTGGTATAATAACTGCTTTAAGTGGGTTGATCTTTCAGCCAAAGGCATGTTTTAGAGCAGGCATCCCCAAACTCGGTCCTCGAGGGCCGCTGTCCTGCAGGTTTTAGAGGTTTCACTGCTTTAAAACAGCTGATTATAATGATTGCAGTAGAGCAAAAGCCTGTTAATTAGCTTTCAATTAAAATCAGCTGTGCTGGAGCAAGGAAACCTCTAAAACCTGAAGGACAGCGGCCCTCGAGGACCGAGTTTGGGGATGCCTGCTTTAGAGCCTCTATAGACTTAGACTTGACTTTATTAATCCCTTGGGATTACTCCCTTCAGGAAATTGTATTTCCAGTAGCAGGAAAAATTGCACATACAAGAAAATAGAGGATGTTTAGACACAGTATATACAATAGAAAAATAACATCAATTAAATAAGGTGTAGGAATATGTATTGGGGGATGAGGATAGACAAATAAATACAGAGGGCTATAGCAAAAACAATGACTTAAATTAACAGTTATGTTTATTATGTTTATTTTTGAATAATTGTTAATCACGGTTAATCCGATTGTTTCAACCCTAATATAGACGCATATTTGCAGAAAAATACAATCAGTAAAGCACCGGAATTTAGAATAAAAAAAAATAAAAAAAAATAAATAAATAAAATTAAAAATAATCATTATTTAATAATAAATAAACAACACTCTCTTGACTATTTCTCTTATTATATCCATAAAGTCATTTAATGCTAATTTCGGATGGAAATTAACCTTTCTAAGTAAGCTTGTATCTTGTTGTCAGGCCCAATTTTCCACTCACAATATGGCGGCGGAAACGTTTTTTTATTATTATTTTTTTTTTAAGCTTATACCGAAACATTAAACGTGCTAAGGCGTGTTGAAGGTGATCTACATGTCATCTAAAATATAAAGGAGGTGAAAACATACACACCTAATCTGAGCAGCAGAACGCTGGGGTTATAACCTTCCGAGATTTTGGGATCCAGCTTATATTCTTCGTCCTCTTTAGAAATCTCTCCCTCTGCTGATTTCTGCCACTGTTGGAGCCGCTGCCTCCGCATTTCTATTCATCACTTGTTCAATTGTTCACTGAAAGAGTCATCAGAGCTCAGATCCCATACAAACAGAGAATCCAAACGTCTTTAAATAGACGCATTCTTTTCTCAGTTTCATTTGCCAAGCTAATGTTATAGCGCCACCAAGCGGAGTGGAGTTTTTCTGACACCTCTGGTATTATGTGTTTATTGAAATGGGCTATACCAAAGTTACACAATTTAAATATGTATCACCAATACTAATACCAGTGATTATTTTTGATAAGTTGGGGGCACATTATCAGAAATATGATTTGAGAAGCTGGTTAAAATGGCAAAAAAAATAAAATAAATGCTTTTCTTTTGCAACAATACACTACTTCCCTCCTCAGCAGCTTATATGATGAAAAACAATAAAACATGTTACACTTTCTCTGGTTAAAAACAAAAGTTACATTTCCCTCTAGTATGTTTACCTAATTTCAACAATTTTCTTTTTAACCCTGTAAGTCTGGATAAAGTTAATTCATCCGTCCTGTTCCACCATTTCCTCATGAAAAGGTTAAAAATCCACAATTCTTTCAGATTTCCACTATATCTGCAATCTTCACTTGACTTTACATTTAATGACTGATTTTAATTCCCCTTTTACTGAATGGAACCATTATATAAATTTGATATAAGGGATCACTCCTCCAGGTGATCCCTGCCTAAGAGGGTTTTTTGTTTTTCATAGTGAATCATTCAGTTCAGGTGAGGGATGCTGAGTATCCCCTTGATGCAATCCTCTTTGTGGCTCCTCTCTGTATGGGAAGGCTATGCGCAGAGGTAATCTCTCAACGTGATGGGAAATCCCTGAAAGGGATCCTCAGTAAAGAGTTACAGATTCCCCATTAGAGTGGTATGTGCTGCTCATAGATACATTTTTTTTTTTTAGATTGCTGCTTTTTTAATAAAAAGTCATGCAGGGCACTCATGTACAAGAGTGCACAGTTTTTATGCTAAAAGTTTATGGCAGGAAGAAATTCACTAAATATGCTGCAATAATTATTTCTTGATTGTTTTACAGTGATTACATTCAGTAGGTAGACATTGCAACACACCTCAGCTCCCATCATTCTGCACCAGTTGTTGCCAGTTTACCTGTTCCTGTCTGAGTTTAGGTTTATCTTTAAAATGAACTGCACCTATTTGAATCACACAATCCAATGAAAAGCATTACAGCTCTGTGCGTGAGGGTAGTCAGGAAATTGCGTCTACCTTCAATGTTCCCACCAGCAGTAGTAGTGAAGCCGGTTCAGTCACAGCACCATGGACAGTGCTGGTTGTTTGTTTATAGTAGAAGCCACACAATAGCTGCTTACTGTAATGTGTAGAAGGATAACTTCCTCTATAATGCATCTTAAAATAGAGTGTAGAAAAATACTTCTTCAAATTAAATATTTTTTTCCTGGGAATAAATTTATTTGTTAAAATTTCAGTTTGAATTTACATTTTTACAAAGGAAATATTTCATACGGTATTTTCAATGTACATGTGTTTATTACTCTTCCCTTAGCTTTTAACTGTGAACATTTTTACCGGATTCAAATTTCTACACATATCAATAAATTAACAAACATACAACAAACCTTATTTTATTATGAGGATTTTTTTCTCTGTAGTTTAATGAACAGTTATATCAATAGCAGAATAAAGCAAAGATGTATAACAATATACAAATAAATTGGCAAATTCTCAAAGCAATTAAATATAGTCTATGTTAAACATAAACTCAATTATAGTCATTTTAGTTATACCTTATAACATTAAGTTCGACCAGATGCACTTTACAAGACAAACAGCTCCCGTTTATATACAGAAATAAAAACTTCAACATCTGATTACATAGACAGACTTCATTCAAAACATAAAATAAATTATTTAAACCTAGTTGGAGCAAAACTAAATGATGTCTGCGAACTATGACTTAAAAGTATAATTGAAAATGTTTTAAAACCAAAGAAAATAATCACTAGAAAGTGAAGACATATAATGATACCACAAAAAATAAATAACCTTGCTTAACACATTTTCTGGCCAGTGTGGATTTTCATGTGTCTGTTTAAGTTCGCTTTTTCGTTAAAATTGTGTCCACACTGATCACAAGCAAAAGGTTTCTGTACAGTGTGGATTCGCATGTGTGTGTTTAAAGTAGATTTATAACCAAAACTTTGTCCACACAGATCACAACAGAAAGGTTTATATCCTGTATGGATTCTCATGTGTCGTTTTAAAGTTGTATTAACACTGAACCTTTGTCCACATACGTCACAGCAAAACGGTTTCTCTCTGGTGTGGATTCTCATATGTATCTTTAAATTGGTTTTTACACTAGATCTGTGTCCACATATATCACAACTGAAAGGTTTCTGTCCAGTGTGGATTCTCATGTGCGTGTTTAAATTTGTTTTAGCTCGAAATTTTTGCCCACATACATCACAACAGAAAGGTTTCTGTCCTGTGTGGATTCTTATGTGTGTGATTAAGTTTTCATTTTGGGTAAATCTTTGACCGCAAACGTCACAACAAAAGGGTTTCTGCCCTGTGTGGATTCTCACATGTGTGTTTAACTGTTCCTTTTGGGTAAATCTTTCTCCACAGAGATCGCAACAGAAGGGTTTCTGTCCAGTGTGAAATCTCATATGCATGTTTAGACTTTCTTTATGACCAAATTTTTTTCCACACAGATCACAAGAGAAAGGTTTCTGTCCTGTGTGGCTTCTTACATGTCTGTCCAATGTCGCTTTTTGGCTAAACCTTTGTCCACATAAATCACAACAAAAAGGTTTCTGTCCAGTGTGGATTCTTTTGTGTGTGTTTAAATTAGATTTTTGGCTAAATCTTTGCCCACACTGGTCACAACTGAAAGGTTTTTGTCCTGTGTGGATGGTCATGTGTATGTTCAAACTGCCTTTTTCGCTGAAGCTTTGTCCACAAAGATCACAACAAAATGGTTTCTCTCCAGAATGGATTCTCATGTGTATTTTCAAATGTTCTTTTCGGCTATATCTCTTATCACACAGATCACAGCAGTAAGGTTTATCTCCTGTGTGGATTTTCTTATGCCTGTTTAAACTGTATTTTAATATAAATGTTTTACCACAGTCTTCACAGGCAAACTTCACTCCTCCCTTGACTTTTCTTTGCAAGTTCACACTTTTATTCTCTGTAAAACCTTTATCATCATGTGAGTTTGATGACCCCATTTTTGAAATGATTGAGTCTTGTTGAAGTAAGCGAAGGTGAACAAATCGTTCAGCAAACTCAGAGGAGCTAAAAGTATTGTTGATGTCTCCATCTGACTCAGGAACTCTGCTGTCCCTCCAGTCATTCTCTGTATCCTTGGTTTTCAGTTCTGAGTCTAAGAAGTCTTTCAGAACATGGTTCTCTACATCCTCCTCCTCTTTGTCCTTCTCAGTGTTTTCAGTCTTCAAGTAAATGTTACCATCTGCACATTCTTGAATCCTGGTGGATTCTTCTCCATCGTTTTCCGCTGGAAGCTCTGTGACTCTAATTTGGTTGGGATAAAGCAGGTAGGGCAGAATAGACTGGTCATCATCCACCCTCTTTAAGAGAATGGCAGTTACTGGAAACCCGGTGGCATCAGTCTCCTCCTTCCCATTGAGCTGCTCTCCCCCAAGACTGACGCAGACTTCTTCTCGTTCCTCTTTAATATGGTCGGGCTCTGGGTCATGAAGGTCGGTGTTCGGTCTGTGGTCTACAAGAGCTTCTTCTTTAACAACCACCATCTGTTTAATATCTGCAAGAAATAATTTGAGGTATTTTGCATATTAGAAAGTATTTGAACTTCAGCCTGGACTAAGATGCTTTTTAACAAAGATATATTTAGGTGCTTTGATTATGAACATTCATTTCTTTTGGATTATGTTTTTTTTATGTTTGTTAAGTAATGCCAACACTACAGTAGGATTGTCACTATACTAAACTTTCAAACTTCAAGTTGATACCTTGGAAAGTATTCAATATTTTTTTCTTACCATAATATATATATATTAAATAATAATTAAAGGCATGAAAAATGTTTAATGAACATGAAAAACCTTGGGCATGGAGCATGCTTTCTCAACATAATCACAGTAAAATAAATAACCCAAATATAGCAAAATATGATAGAATTTCTAAGGTTTTCTAAAATATTGTAAATTTAATGTGCAAATATTTGAGAAATCTAAAATGAACAAAAGTCATGAACAATAATATATTTTTAACAAGTTTCTCTATGAAATAATCAAATTTTAATGTCTGTACCATATATAACCAACTCATCAACTCTTTCTGTTAAAATATTGAGATGTTTTTCTGGTATTGAGATATTTCACATCAGATGTTAAATACTACAACAACAAAAAAACCAAATATATAAATATATATAATCAAATATAGAGAAATCAAAGTAATTTACAGTATATCTGTAAAGTATTCACAGTAGAGCTGTCAAAAGATACTCAAAAAAGTGTGCAGACTAAAAATCGCTGTATCCTGATACAACGCTGATCTGGCATGTATTGATAATTGGGGTGTAAGAAGAAATCGAATCTATCAAATATACAATATTTCATTAGATAATATTCTTATTGATTTGAAATACAACCAAATGGATCTTAAATATCTAAAATAATTATAAGCAAACATCCATTTAACTATTTTACTTTTATATAAATCTTAAACCTAACAGACAGAGCGGCAGAGCAACAACTTCTTTCTAGAGTTACAAAATTATATATATATAAAAAAAAAAAAATCGCATTTTATCATCTTTGCTATTGTATCTGGATATAGCAAAAACATTTTTTTTAACTCTAATTATCTTTAATAAACAATGTTGTATGTTTCTTTTTCATGGTATTGAAAATGGTATTGAGCATCAAATATTTTTCTGGGTATTAATATTGAGTTTAAAATGTTTGTCTTGCGACAACCCTAATTCCCAATGTCTTATACCAAATCAGTTTTCCACACAGATTGAACTTGGCCTTCCTCATGCCTTCCTTACTGTCAGATTAGTTAGTGGATCTCGACGTTATGTCTGTGTTTTGAGAATCTTTTGGTGTGATTCATTTTGTCAGGGAGTTCCCACTTAAGTTTTTCTGAAAAGGCCATGTAGACTTGTATAATTTTTCTCCCTTAATAATAAAAACATTCACCAAAAAACATAATTTCCAAATCGGCATTCATGTCAGGAACACTGCCTCAGTGTGACTGATTTTTGCAGTGACTGGCTATTCCAGGGGAATTAAACTCAAGTCCTTTATGGGACAGTAGCCTGCAACATTTAATCCTTATTCAAACAATCTCTTTCATCCCCTCGTCCTCTGTTCCATCACAAATAGAAGCTTTTCCAGTCAGTTTGATCCTTTCTACCAACAGGGGGGACAGGTCCCCTCCATCACCCTTGACATGCACAGATCGAGTGTATATGTTATCTATATGTGAGCTAAACGTGGTAATCTCTAAAATCCAGATGAGCCAAACAGGATGTCAGACATGGGGTGAGCAAAACAGATTTGGTAAATCTAAGATAAGAGGCTCTGCAAAGACAGGTCCTGCAAACATCAAGTGAGGACTGCTGCATGGAAACCTTTTCCAGCAGACACATAGTATGGTATGCCAGAATCCAGTTTTAGATATGTCCCTTTCCCAGCACACCTGAACCAAATGGCAGTTCTGCAAAGTCCTGTTAGTGACCCAATTATTTAAGTCAGGTATGTTAGAAATAAAGACACATCTAAAAGTTGCAAGACACTGGTGCTGCAGACTGAGGTTTGAAAGATCTGGGCAAGGCACTTGTCAGAATATTCCAGCTGACATGTTTATAGGACACATTTCAATAACTGATCAGCTATTTTATTCCAAATAATAAAAATATAATTACATGAATTATTAACTAATTACATTGTAATTATCCACTGTACAAACAGCAAACCAGAACCACACAGAGCTTTAATTAATATTATATGCAGGCTTAATATCTATCTAATAAAAGCATGAGTTAAATGTTTATTAAATTTAAATAATTTTTTTATTGAAATAAATTATTCAATAAACATGCTGCATGTAAGGTGGTTTAGGCCTATCGTAATTTATATTATAGCTTTCTCTATATTTGATCCAGTTGTATGTGTTATAATTAATAATACTTCATAGTACATCAAACTGCTAAAGCTGTGTGAGATTCTAGCAAATATTGCGTCCTTACATCCTTTTTTATGTATCTTTTTTTACATTGAGCACTTGCCCTCTGCGGGGCCTTGGGTGGTAATCTTTTAGTGCTTCTTCGACATGGAAAACTCCGTTTATATGCGAACTTGTGCCTGTTTCAAATTGAAGGTTGCCACTCACAATATGGCGGATAGTCCCTACAGTCAACGAAGCGTTCTACACCTACAGTGTACATCTGAGTGTGTTTCCCTTAGTTAAAATGGTCGCAAACTGTAACACGAAAAAAATACCAGATTTAATCTGTGAATTTACCAGCATCCGGGATTCTGTGATCCGGTTTATATTCTTTCTCCTCCGCTTCAGCTGTTTCAGAAATCTCTCCCATTTCTGTACTCTGCCACCGATGGAGCTGTGGTCTCCACATCTTACTCCGTAGCCTTTTTTTTTTTAAATTACTCTTTAATTATTACTAAGCAGTAAGAGCTCATCTTCCATCTATAATCCAAAAAAGATTATTATATTTCTTTGTTCTTCCCCAAACTGAGATTCCTTCAGCTGCAGGCATCTTCTTCTTCTTTTCTACTTCTTCTTCTTCTTTTCTATCATGGCGGATCGCAAGCAACTTTAAGGTGCATACCGCCACCTTCTGTTCATGAGTGTGTAGCAACATTGTTTTACATCTATTAAATTCTATTTTTTAATTTTGTATTCTGAAGATAAATAAATAATGCTTTCCTTAATCTATAAATATCCTTTATATTTCCTCCATTTCCCAATATTCCTTTAACCACCCTTCTCAATTTCTCCCTTTAATGTTCATAAATTGTACAGTTCAATACATGTTGTACATTTTCTTTTTCTCCACATCCTTCCCATTTATCATTATTTTTCCACCCTATTAAATATAAATAGTCATGTAGGCATGACCTACTCTTAATCTTATCATTATTACTTCTTCCCTTCTGTTTCCCTCATTAATGTTTCTATTTAATACAGATTTTGTACCTTATATAATCCTCTTCCTTTCTTATCTTCATTTCACCTCTTTTGTCATTTTTCCATTTCTTAACTCTTAATAAGTGATTTTTCTTCCCCTTTCCTAAAAGGAATTCTAATCTTTATTGTTCCCTCTAAAGCCCTTTTTGCTGCTATATCTGCCTTTTCATTGCCTTTTCCTCCTTCATGTGCTGGAACCCAACATAACCAAATATCAATGTCACCCCTACAGTATATAATCTAAACAGACTGTTCTGGATTTCTAATACTAAATCTTTTCTATCATTTCCTTCCCCCTCAATAATTTCTAAAACTGCTTTGGGATCTGTACAGACCACCACCCTGCTTGCTCTAACCTCCTCTTCCCATTGTAAGCTTTGTATAACTTTTCTATTATGGCTGATTGCAAGCAACTTTAAGGTGCATACCGCTGCCTACTGCACACGAGTCTATAGCAACATGGACTATTGAAAATGACATGGAAAATGTTTTCCTTACTGATAAATGTTGATGTTTCCTTCACTTGTTCTACATATTTTCCCTCCACATCCCTCACATTTATCAGTATTTTTCCAACC